GCAAAGCATCAGGGACCGCGGTTCAATCCCCCAGCACCACATGCCAGCCAGCCCCGCCCCCTGGTGGGCTGAGCTGGCCACACACACACACACCACACTCTCCCTCTCTCTCAAATAAATAAAACAAAACAAAACAAAACAAAACAATGAATGATAACAAAGGTTTTGTAAATAAGGAGGGCAAGAGGGGGAGAGGTGAGGAAAATGGGGCGGGGGAAAGAACCAAATTCTATCATGTACAAGTATGGGATCATTATGAATGGGATCATTATGTATGCTTACAATATACCAATAAACTTAACTTAAAAACAGAAAAGGAACAGCCAGATAGCTCAGTGAACTAAAGCGCCTGCTTAAGAAGGCATGGGGACTGGAGTTCAATCCCCAGCATGCCAAGCTGGCCCTGCCCCTGGTGGTGGTGTGTGCCTGTAATCCCAGAGCTTGGGAGGCTGAAAACAGAAGGATCACTATGACTCTGATCTGTGTAGTGAGACCCTGTACTAAAATACATAAAAAATAAAATAAAATAAAGGAAAGTGGGCATAGTGGTCCACTGTGAGCATAGGACTGTGATCCCAGAATTCCAGGAGTCTGAAACAAGATGACAGCAAGCCCATCTGGGGCTACTTAGCTCCTTAATGAGACCCTGTCTCAAAAAAGTAAAAAAGGTTTGATGTACAGTGGCTCAATGCAAAGACTCTGGGCTCAATCCTCAATTATGAGGGGAGAAACAAACTTATAAATCAGCACTGTGCTTACACATGGGAGAAGAATGAGAGCATCTGGCACGAAGTGTCTTTTGAGGTGTTGGCAAAGTTCTGCTTCTTGACCTTGCATTTGTTTTACATTTCACAATGAAAATCCTTTTTCTTTATGTGCTACAGATCAATCCCAGTCTTGCCTAGTCTAGGATCTACTACTGACCTATACTCTCAGCCTGAAGAAATGTTCTTTTAAAAAGATATAATACAGCTGGGCATGGTGGCACATGCCTGTAATCCCAGCGTCTGGGAGGCTGAGGCAGGACTGCCATAAATTCAAGGCCAGCCTGGGCCACACTGAGTTTCAGGCCAACCAGAACTACATAGTGAGACCTTGTCTCAAAAAAAAGGATAGAAGTCTATGAAAGAGACCAAGTAATTAACTTACTGTTTTAATCATCTGAATTAAAAACAAATTTTTATTTTATTTTTTTTTATTTTTTTCTTTTGGCGGAACCAGGGATTGAACTCAGACCCTTGCACTTGCCATGGAAACGCTTATTCCACTGAGCCATCTCCCTGGCCTCTAAAAACAAATTTTTAAAACCTTAATAACTTTAACAAATCTCTTAAAGTGTAAATTTTAATTGTCAGATAAAAAGTTTAAGTTATAAAAATGTATCTCGGCTAGAGAGACAGCTCAGAGTGGTGGCACGTGCCTGTAATCCCAGCACTCAGGTGGCTGAGGCAGGAGGACCGCTGTGAGTTCAAACTGAGCCTGGGCTGAATAATGAAATTTAAGGGCACCCTGTACTACATAGCAAGACCCTGTCTCAAAAATAAATAAACAGATAAACTATTAACATAATAAATATGAAATGTGTTCAGTATATTATTACTAACACATTCACTTCTGATCCTTCAGAAAAGAAACAGAAACTTCACAACATGCTTAAAAAATTTTAAAAGCAGCATAGCACATATGCCTAAATGCAATACAGTCACTAATATCTCTTCAGTAGTAGAAAAAAACCAAAGTGGACTAAAAGCTGAGTCAATTTAGTTTCTTCATTTGTTCAAACAGTTTAAAAAGTAAAGCATGCACACAAAACCTGCG